GTCACTGACTGTCGAGCCAAATTAGCATGTTCACCCGGGTGTCTCACTTCCACCACTGCCAATCAAAGCCTGAGCTGACTGAATATTTGTGTCAAGCCGATTGAGTCCATTCCCATTGAAGACAAAAGCTAGAAGTTAGTGGGGTTTTTAGGATTTAGGATAGGGCTTTAGGACGTTGAAGAATAAATGTTACGTTCTCTTACTTCCTGCGTCTGTGGAACTGTTTGACAGGACAGAGCTCATTGAACAGCTTCTGATTGACCAGCCTTGGCGCGAGGAGGAATTTGTTGTTGGACATGAACTCGTCAATAATTTGCTTTTTCATTCCTTTGGCCTGCGGAGAGAAATATACAAAATACACATAAAACAGAGTGAGGTGGCATTTAAAAGTATTTAACAGTACAAATGACTAAATGATCGAAGCAAAAGAAAGGTGGAGCTACTTTACTTCTTCAGGCTACATGTTGCTGTGATTTACCTGTATAATGTCAGCAGGCTTCTCAGTGCTCTCCTTGAAGACCAGCATGGTTGGAGCGTAAGTGTTGATGTTGAACTGCTTCTGCAGATTGGCAGTCTCTGAAAGGCCCTGGTCCACATAACCAAACTGCAAGTAGTCCTTATAAGCAAAAGCTGTCAGCTGCGGAGATAAATTACCAACATGATGGTTTCAGTAAAGCAGTTACTAAGTCAGTGGCACCTGAGGTACATTTCACGTAAAAAAAAAAAAGAAAACTACAAGACAAGAGCCTACTTTGTATAGTAAAGGAACTGCAGGCACTTGGTCAAACAGAAGCACGTGAGGCTTGTTGAGTTGGTGCCAGCTGTTCAAGAACTGCAGGTCGTTCTTGTCAGTGACCTGAAATATAAAAAAAGAAACGTATTTAATTAATTTTGATATGTAATATCAAAGAGAATATAACCCTCTGTATAGACTGCAAATAAAGCAGTCTCCTCCATTCTGTGATATGCAGATAGTGGAAAATGTTAATAACAATCATAGAATGTGTAGAAAGAGGGACGATGCATCTCCACTTTCTCCCTGTATCCAGAAATTAAGCCACAATATCCCAGATAGCCAGAGTCTACGTAGGAGCAATCAGGGGATGGAGTCGCAGTATTCAGGTCTTGCCAATCAATGCACTAAGACAATCTCAGCTGTCAATCAGTTGTTATAGCATCAAATCACTTATTCTAACCAAACTAACTGAAAATTATCACTCGGTCATACATCAGTGAGATACAAACTACCTGAAAGCACAGAAATCACCTTTGAGAAAAATGTATTTGACATCAACTCTGACTTTTTTGTTTGGTCCATGTCCCATCGGTTAACATAGCGGAGAGGTTTACGATTTATACTGCAGCCAGCCACTAGGGGGCAATGGAGACAATTTGGCTTCACTTTTAGAGAGCAGTCATGTCAACCATCTGTATATAAAGTCTATGGTTCATCTGTAACGATCATTTTGATCAGTGTGCACTTTGACAGTTTTAAATACGACGACTATGGAGCAACAGTCATCATATGCAAAGGTTAGAAGAATTAAACTTTGATAAACTTTGTAATGCTGAGTGAAGCAGAAAGATAGCAAAGTGATTATCATTATCATGGCTGATAATGAAGGCCTGCAATAATGACTATTGGCAATTTTATACAACCAGTCTTGTCACATCAAACACCAACACTGACAAAATGAAAAGTGATCGTTCATCTTACCCTCAGTGAAGAAAAAAAAAACTATTTTACCCGTTCAACAAGTCTCTGAGGAAGAAGGTCCTCTACAAACTGCCTCAGATGCTCCTTTGCAACAGCGTAATGGAAAAACGTAACTTTTCCATTGATGACTCCGAGTATTGACGGTGTGCGATGAGCACCGAGGTGATTGGCCAACCGCCTCTCATAGCCAACATCCACCACACCGATTCCAACACCTGCAAAGACAGCATATCGACAAACGAGCGCAATGTCAAAAGAGCGCAGGGCTGCTGGGTAATTTTTGCACATTGTATGTTTATTGCAAACCTAGAGTCTCCATCTCCTGCACCACCTCTTTCCACACCGGCTCGATGTGGATGCAGCTGAAGCACCAGTCAGAGGTGATCTTTATCAGGTACGGTCTCTTGTAGCTGTCGGGTACCACGTCGTTGATGTACTGGTTAAAGTTCAGCGTGTACTTGCTGTCGGCAAAGTCTCTGTGGTTCTTGCTGTTGAAGGGGAAGTTGAAGAAGGACTCGTCAAAGTAAAAGTTGTCATGGCGATGGCTGTAGCGACCGCTGCCATATGGCTGGGTGTCATCGGTCTGCCCGTAACGGTCATAATTTGCCCGTTTTTCTTCGCTGGATAAGATCTAAATGTTGGGCACAAAAAACATGGATATGAAACAACATCCTGGAGTCAAACTGTGGCTGTGTCTCAATTCAAGGGCTGCATTCTTAGAAGGATGCAGTCTATTCGGCCCACAGAGACCATAGATGTAGACTGCGAAGGCCAAACCAAAATGAGATGTCTGGTCTACTGAGGCTTTCATTAGCTCGTCCTGTCCTTGTTGCTGCTGCAAAGCGACAGAGCTTAACTTGGACATAAAGAGAAAACTTCTGCTCAGTTGAGTCAAAGCACGATACTCAAGCGTTGGTTGTCTGGTTGGTACCTCTTTGAAAAATGGTTCGGCACTGAAGTGCAATGACTCCTTGGATAGGTTGGGCCGGAAGGATCCACCCGTTGCAGCCTTCGTTTCTCCGGATGGAAGAACAAATTTTTGCAGGAGCCTTCGAAATGGGATTGTCTTGCCGCACCGCTGTCTGTTCTCAGATGCAGCCTCCGCAGGATGCAGCCCTCTCGTTGAGGCACAGCTTGTGTGTTACTATCTTTTATCATAGCAAACATGCACATACAGTCGACAGATCGCTTTTTAAAACTGTGACTAACCTCATAAGATTTAGTAATCTTGATGAACATGTCCTCAGCACCTGGGTTTTTGTTCTTGTCAGGATGCCTTGAGAGGAAGAGATTAGATTGAACTCTGAGAGTGGTTTAATGAGAACAGGTGAGCCTCCTGTGAATATATATATAGTTACCATTCTTTAGCCAGACGCTTGTAAACCTTCTTGATCTCAGCCTGGCTCGCAGTGCGGGTCACTCCCAGGATTTTGTAGGGGTCCATCTCAGGGGTGGCCCCTGTCAGCAGCAGCACTGACAGGAGCAGCAGCACAGCCAGCAGCAGAGACATCTTTGACCCCGGCATCACAGATTACCTGTAACACGTGAGAAGATGTGTCACCGTCACAAACACACGACACAGAAACCACCATGTTCACTGTCTGTCAAGCAAAATGATGCCAGATCACGGAGACGAGACTAGCTGAAGATGCTGAGATTTTAAGGGGTAGCATGCTAACCAGAAGCTAGGCAGGCTAAGTGATACCAGCCAGCTAGCTGCAGACATCACGACATGTTACTGAGGCATTAGTATTATTATTATCCCCCGAGGGTAAATACGCCCCCGCCGTTTTCTGCCTTTTCTCCATCGGGGCTAGTTGCCCTGCTTCACCGTTGTTGTCTCAACAATGCAACAGCTTCGTATTCACAGTCACCTCAGCGATCAGCCGCTGCTTCGCCACATATTTGGTGAAGGTTCGATCCCCGGTTGTTAATAACGCTGATGTGACGGTGGACAACGACAGGGTGTGTTCGTTCCGCCCGACCACCACAACCTGCTGCTGCAGCTGCGGAGCTCGAGCGGAGAGGAGGAGGCGCCACAGCCTCCTCACTCATTCTGGGGAAAGTCAGTGTTTCTGGCTTCACTCGTGTGTTTTCGGTTTGACGATCATCGAGCCGCGTTTTGTTCAGTGTGAGTAAATATGTGCAGGTTACTCGTGTAGCAGTTCGGTGTAGTGTCTAAAATCAAACGCACCCTTTTTTATTTTGCTCTCCTTAATTTTGGTGCGTTCACGTGCTCCTCGAAAGGTCGCTGTTATGATTTGGATGTGTTCATTAAATTCTCCAGCCCCCTCCACAATATATTAACTCTCCCTCCAAACTGAGACCTGTCCTCAACAACACTTACTGCAGAACCATCAAATCACCAAACAGCTCCTCAGTCCTGGTTTTTGTATATTTGTATTTAACTGTGTTTTAAGCATCCTATTCTATTTCTATTTCTATTACCACTTACAATGTCTAGATCACTGACAATGTGCAATATTATTTATATCATCATGGATACACTTACCTTAACATGGTATTTATATCATGGTCACTTTACATTACAATACTTTTTATATCATGCCACTCTTTTATCCTCAGTACTTTTTTGCACATTGTCTGTTTGCAGGTTGATTGTTTTCTTTTTATTGTGTAGGTTACAGATACTTCTGTCTGTTTTTTGTGTTTTTGCCTTTTCCACTTTAATTTCTGTAGTGTGTTCATACGTGTATAAATACATTTAAAGTATTCACGTTCATCATACTGGACATCTGTATTGGCTAAAAAGTATATGGTTAGCTGCTTGGGAGAGATAGACAGATGCAACAGTTTGTAAGGGACAAGAGACTAAGAAGAGCTACTGTTTAAACCTCATTGTAAAAATATATCTAGTGTTTTATCAGTGATGATATCGTCAACTCATGTTTAAGCAGACTTTCGTCGTTCCAACTTGAGATGACGTTCATGTTTATATATTTAATCATTCACTAGGTATTTATTTAGTTATTTAATGTGCAAAACAAACAGAATATGGAAACAATCAGCCATGAATAGATTTTTACAATTCAAAATAAACATAATTGATTTCGAAATCAAATGTTATTAAACATCGGTCAAATAACAAATTAATAATAATTAAATACAGTCGAGGATTTGTTTTTCCGATTATTCCCGACAACACGTGAATCGCACAGTCGGTCAGTGGACCAATCACACGATCTCTCAATGATGTAAACAAGGAAGTAGCGAAAGCAACCGAGCACAGGAAGAGAAACAACATCTAACATTTGTACACGAATAACACACACACATATATATATATACATATGAAATATAAATATATATGTGTGTGTGTATTTAACTTGACTAAAGAATTCGGTGAACGCTTTTAGTGTAAGACACTGACTGACTCCGCTGCAGTCCCTCTATCGGCTGTGGCAGCTGGTCGGTTTCCATTCACTCAGGTGCTGTGTTGTTGTTGTTGTTGTTGTCGTCGGATTCAGGATGGAAGAAAAACACAAGAAGATCCTTCAGCGCAACAGGGTCAGTCTGGTGAGTGTGCTGGACCCATCCACGCTCTACGATGGCCTTCTTCAAAGAGGAGTTTTCACGCAAGACATGATCGATGAGATTAAGGTAGTGTAAATGAATATATGTGTTTATGTTCATTTACGCCAACGTGTTTAAAAGGTTTACAGTTAAGTCCTTTTCATATTTATGTTTACACGTTCTTTATTTACTGATTGACACATTTGAACCTTTCATAAGAACAGGAGGAATGACGTGTTCAATCTGCCTCAGAACCTCTTTCACATTCACCTCTGTCTGAGGCCCTTCTGGATTCTTATTGGTTAGTCGAGTCACCCGAGAGGGAGCAGCGGGAAGTGTGTGTTGGTGATGACCTGTGTGGAGAAGAGTGAAGTCCGGCACAGGAAGTGATCCGTCTCCATCCTGTTGTTCCTTTACATTAAGAGTGATCCAAGTAGAAAGAAAACAACAAGGTGTTTCTGTCCACAGAGGAGCTGCTGCTCACTGGACGCGTTTTTCAGCAGGTTCAGAAATACTCGGGTCAGCCCGACTGACACCAACAATCCTGTCACAGTTGCTGCAGGACTTTCTGCATCGCTCTGCTGCCATATTTCTTGGCTGATTGGATAATGACATGAGTAAGTGGGTGTGCAGGTGTTCCTAATAAAGTGCTCAGTGAGTGTAGAGAATACAGGTATACAGAATACAACTAAATGCACAAAGACATTGATGGCAACTAGCAGAAAAAAATATATTGCGATATGTCATTGAAAGTAAAACAATTAAACAGCATTTTACTCTTTACATACTATCATGATATATTGTCTGACTGTTTTTGTTACATGTTAAGCCCATATTCACAAATCATAGTTTGCCTCATAGAGCTTAACAAGGTGTGACATCCTCTGCGCTTCACCCTTAAAAAGAATGAAAAAAATCTGCTTTTTGATCCTTCGATGTCGGCTCTTCCTATCATTGTGAAGCAGAATTCACCAAGCGTTGGATTGTTCACCCACTAATAGGGAACGTGAGCTGGGTTTAGACCGTCGTGAGACAGGTTAGTTTTACCCTACTGATGATGTGTCGCAACAAGGAACAAAAGTAGAAGCCTCAGAGAGTCCCAAGTGAGGGATCCCTCTCCCTGGACTCTCTGGGAGTAGCACAGCACATCAACAAAATAATAATATTTATGACATTCATGGTTTAAAGTATTTATACAAAATACAATGTCTGACAGATCGCGGGAGCAATAATGACATTTGTAAGGATAGCAGTATTGCCACTAGAAGTAGTTCCGTGTGAGAAGATATACTGTATATCTAAGCAATCTAGTTATAATCATTATCCACTATCAGCTGCCACCAAGATGTGGCTGAAGCCGTGATCCTGGATCTACCACTATATAGCACAAGGACTCTGGGGAAGAAGACAAGTCAGAAACATGTATTGATGAGATATTAAGAGCACATACCCCTGCCAAGGTTGATTTCCCACTTTATCACCACATTGCATAGGTGATAACTCAAAACTTGATAATTTAATACAGTGCTGCCACTGACACAGTGTTCTTCTTCCAGAGCTCTGGGACCAGACGTGACCAGGCCAGGCAGTTAGTCCGGGACTTAGAGACCCGCGGGAGTCAAGCCTTTCCATTATTCCTGCAGTGTCTTCAGGAGACGGGTCAGCAGAGTCTGTCAGAGCTCCTGCAGAATGGAGTCCCACCAGTTCATGTACAACCTGCTACACCCACTGAGGTTGTCCGCCCTGTGATCCAACCTCTCCCAATCAGTAAGTGAACCTGCTCTCACAGTATTCATGTCATGGCTACAGTGAGCATTAGGGAGGAAGATTTAATTTTCCATTTGGTACTCCTACAATAAATTTAAAATGTAAATAAGTCAAATAAGTTACTTTTAAGAATATATCTAATTACCATAATTAGCACATAGGACTGCTTCATTGTGGTCATTGTGGTCATTAATATCGGGACTTTGTGAGAAAGTGTTGAAAACGTTCTATGAGAAGGAGAAACCACACACGCTTTGAAAGAGGAACAGTGACAGGTCACATGTCCGTCAGTCGCTCCTCTAACTGGAACTGATTGACCAGAAGAGTTTACTTTACTCTCAACATTTCAACTTTATTCTTGACATTTCTATTTTATTTCTGTCATTCCGACTTCTTTTGCATAATACAAAAAATACCTTCCTCTTTTCTTGACTTTTGGACTTTTTTCTCGGCATTTACACTTTATTCTTGTAATGCAAAAGGAAAAAAAGTTCTTCCTACTAATTTTTTCCCCTTGAGTGGCTTTAAGCTTGTCTGATTACAGTAACTCCAGTAACACTTGCATTCCCTCATGTTGCTCATACGTGTTTTCTTTGTTAAGCCCCCCCAATGGATGTTGATAAGCAGAGAAAAGACGATGTCCCTGTCAATCCTTTACCTCGACCAAGTACCACTCCCAGTCCGTGTAAGATTTGATATGTATTTACATAACACATTGTTAACAATCTGAGTTCCTTCATGTTTAACACGTGTCAATGCTCATGTCACAGCACCTGAAAGGGAGAGTATAAGACCAAGGCCACTGGGCAGAACACGACGGGACAGTATTCAGGTAAGCAGCAACAGAAAAACAACCACTGAATCTGGAGAAACTTCCCTTTTCCTGTTAGATAGAGATAGAACTTTATTGAAATTAAAACATTTTACACCCATGCCAGAGCTACAAAATGGACGCCAGCCCATGTGGACACTGCCTCATCATAAACAACGTGGAGTTCAGCCCTCAGAGCGGGCAGACCAATCGTAGAGGCTCCAACGTCGACTGCGGCAAGCTGGAGAGAAGATTCAAGAAGCTCAACTTCATTGTGGAAGTCAAGACCAACATGAAACAAAGAGTGAGAATTATTTTCCTGTGCCTCTGTGTATGAAACTACAAGAGAAACATTGGGGTTGTGTTTGTGTCGCTAACAGTCCTCTTCACATTTCAGCAAATCAAGCATGAGCTGTCAACTTTGTCCAAAAAGGACCACTCAAGCTTTGACTGCTGTGTGGTTATCATGCTGTCCCATGGGACTGAGGTAAGACCTGTGTAGTGTTTTACCACCAGAGTAATCTATGTTGATTATAATAAAGAGCAATTTATGATAAAAGTTGTTGCATCACCTTCAGATTACTCTAGAAACAGCCGGCATGTGATTTGTTGGGGGACCAGGTGGGAAGTTATCCTTGTGTGAAGCTGGACATCCTATATTCAGAGCTGGTAACTAAATTCCTATGGAATTGAAAACGGAGGACAGTGCTCTTTACTCTCCCCCCTCTCTCCAACTCAGCAGCAGTTCCGGGAGAAATCCTACCCTTGTCGGTATCCGTTAAAACATCCATAATGATTTTATTGACTTCCACAGTTAGGCAGGATTCAGCCTCAACTCGGTAGATACCACTTTCGATGTACACGTTCACACAAATAGAGTATTCGACTGCAGCGATGTAGTCCCCCACACCCCGAGTCAGCTCCAAAAGTGAATCATCTGGAGATACCATCCAAAGTAATATTCACACCAAGTTTGGGATCTGATGTGTGCTCATACTTATACTTCTAGGTGAGTCACAACCGCTTCCCTGGTGCTGTGTATGGTGTGGACGGAGAGTATGTCCCAGTTCAACATATCACAAACTACCTCAACGGCAAGCATTGCCCTTCTTTACAAGGCAAACCCAAACTGTTCTTCATCCAGGCGTGTGGAGGAGGTAGCTAACACTCAATAAACTGTTGAAGGAATCAGTCATAAGTCATATGTAAGATGTATTGTCATAATTAGAGTATGAACATGCTCTTTGAAAATGCTTTTGTCTATGAGGTGAAAAAGACATGGGCTATGAGGTGTCCCCTGACGAATTTAAGCCACACGTTGGTGGAGCAGATGACCAGACAGACGCCATTCCAATGTCGTCCAGCAGCGACTCCCTGAGCATGTCTGATGAACCAGATGCCAGAGTCACTCTGCCCACACCATGTGACATCCTGGTGTCCTACTCAACGTTTCCTGGTGTGTCTCTGTCTCCATTTGTGTCAGAGATACAGATACACTTTTTATTTTCTATGTATGTCCTCCCTAATGCCATTTTGACCATGTGACATTCAAAGGTTACGTTTCTTGGAGAGACCCCGAGGCAGGATCGTGGTATGTTGAGACAATGGACCGTGTTCTAGAGGAAAATGCTGCTACTGATGACCTGGTTACAATGTTGATGATGGTGAGCTCCTCTTGGTTCTGCAAAATCAACTACAGCTCAACATAAACACAACTGATTGGTAACTGTTGCTTATTTCCAGGTGAACCACGAAGTCTCTCAAAACTCTGCAAAAGGGCTCTACAAGCAAATGCCTGGTTCCTTTAACTTCCTCCGAAAACTTCTCTACTTTCAAACCCAAACATAGACCAAGAAAAGTTTCAGCTGGACACACTTCTAATAAGTCTCAGATTCAGCTTCAGCGTCTATTTCAGTGTCATAAATCGTGACTGGAATGTTTTTAGATTATGTCTCAGCAGAGTTGTCAGATGTATGAATTTGATAAATTGTGCTTTTACTGAAATGCCTTAGTGTGTATTTGATTTTATTGATTGGCAACTTTTCTAAATGAAAGTGTCAGGCATAGGTGTGATCTTGGGAAGAAAATATTTCTGTACTATGAAAAAGTTTTTATTTTACATCTGTGACGTATTGACACATAACAGCCGTCAGTTTGTTAAGAGCAGTCATTCAACATGATGATCGGTTTGTGCTCTGTCTCTTTTATACGAATCTTGTTAACAAATTGGATTGTGTGTCTTTTGTAATTCTTTTGTAATGTTCTGAAAATACAGGTTGAAAATGACCCTGCTGTGGAAGTGTTTGATATTCTTTGATTGATGTGTTGCTCATTTATACACATATTTTTTTCGACAGCTGCATTTTCCATAATCCAACGCACACTGAGCTACAGATACATATAATGTAGCACATATAGCTGATCAGGGGCAGAATGAGTCATCTGACATTTTCACCAGCATACCTCTTGTCTGAGTCTGGTCATTTACGCAAACAGGAAACAATCTGAGTAAGATGAGACAGTGTGTAAGATTAAGGTCAAAGGGATCTAATGGCAGAAAATGAATATAAAATAATCCTAGTGATGTTTCTTTACTGTGTAATGGTCTAAATTGTATGAATTGCTGTTTTCTTTACCCTAGAATGAACCATTTATATTCAGATACTTTATAATTACATCAGGAGCGGGTCCTCTCTACGGAGGCTGCTATGTTTTTTACAGTCGTCCAAACTGGACAAACGAAACACCTTTTGAGTTTTATGACAACTGAAGACTACCACAGGTTCTCTTTTGTGTTTGGAAGGGGAGGGTGAGGTGAGGGGTGTTCAGCTGTAACATGAAACTTCACCACTTAATGTCACTAAAGTCTACACACCGGACCTTTAAAACAACAGTCCGTTGCTAGTGTTGTCATTCTGAATGGGCACAATGGTTCATTCTACTCTCAGGGTCTCAGGTAGAGTGTTCCAGCAGCTTGGTGCATAAAAGCTCTCATTGACTCATTTATCCCAAAGGTTACATGTTTAACGCTGATTTAAGACTTCCTTATGGCCTGAGTTTATAAAAAACACACAAAGCAGTATCATCATATTCTCTCATATTAAAGTCTGTTTTTAAATGTATACATTGGTGACAGGGGATTGGCCGAATAAGGCAACAGATGGTAAGGGATGGAAAGTTACAAGTACAAAGAAGCACTATAGATGTGTTTCAAATCAGACTCTCACAGATGTTGCTGCAGTAAATGAAAAACCTCAAGGTAAAAATAACATAAGTCTCATAC